AAAAAAATAAATTGAAACAAAATTATGAAAATTTCCATTATTATTATCAGTGAGCTACTGGCAGTGCCACTGTTGACACTGTGTATTAGCTATCTCCTGAAGATCGGGCTGCCAGACTCCTAACACACTGATAACATCACAGTTTATTTGATCTCAATCAGACTGACAAGTATACAAAAGGACACCTCAGCCTTTGAAAAGCTAAGGAAAAGACTTAGCTTTTTGAGATTTCTCAAATAGAAATGTAATATGGAAGTCTAAACACATTACTATACATCACAGATGATAATACTTGCTAAAATTGTATTTCTATGTAGACCGTGAGAGAGAGCCTGGAGAGCTGATCAGTCACTCTTGTAAATCTCCTCCAAAACTTCAAGAATCTTCTCTTTTTCTGTTCTTTCTGATCCTTCAGTGCCACTGTCTTTGTTCTTCCAAGCAATGGAAGTGATAAAGTGTCATGAAATATTTTTTCTTTCTCAATGGAGAGATGCTCTTGGTATCTCCATTGAAGTGAGACAATAGCTAGTCACAGGATTAGACTAAGGACAAGTATGTACAATATAATCTTTATCAGTTTTCAACCTCTGCAAAATCTTAATGGTCAGATTTCACTGAGTTACAGCGAGTTTCACCAGCAACACACAGCCAATCTGTCACAGTTTCTGTCAAACCAGGAAAAACTGGAGACACAGCAAAAAGGACAGATGTCTCAGTCATGGGATGAACTTTTGGAAAATTCATTACTGTTTCATAGGAAGGATGCAGGGTTTTGACATTAGGACAAGTCATTGCTTTTGTTACAATATGTCCACTATAATAAGGACTCAAGTATCTGTTCATTATTCCTGCACCATCAGGAAAATTATCTTATATGTTGTCTGATTAGGATGTAAAACACACTCCTGAAGGTAGAGATTGACTTGTTCCTTATGATATAGGGTTTGTTGTGCTATGTTTTAATTTGGTTGCTAAAACTTGATGAAAGTTACCAGTAGCATCATGTCGTTTCCCATTCCCGTGGACAGCACTGACTCATTAATATGTTCTTTTTCTAAATACTCCTCTCACTACTGTGAAAACATACAGTATTCAGCTGCTGGAATTAGAGGATATGGGAGATCACTTGCATGTGTAATACTTTGTATACCAATTGCAGAATATGTTGTTTATGGTG